ATTAAGAAAGATAGTAAGAAAAATAAATAATTCTAGAAACATCTTTCATTATGAAGTGAATGATGATCAAAGGTAAAAATGTAACTTCACGCAAACAAAAATCTACCAAGAATGATGACAAGAAAACTAAATAGTTCTAGACATATCTTTAGTTATTGTTGTTACTATTAACTCATTTTGTTATTACTTCACTTTTTTATAAGTATTTGTGATATCTACTCATTACTCTATTTTACTGTTACTTTAATTTAATTTTTAATTTTTTTTCTATTCATTATACTTAATAAAAATGCCTACTTTAATATAAAAATTCATTATTTAAAAATATAATTAATTACTTTCACTTTTATTTTGGCTCTATTTAATATACTTGAAAAGAAATAAGTGTGATAAATTAATAATATATATTAGATTGAAATTAAAGAATAAATAAAATTAGTTTCAATATTAAAAAAAATATGTTTTAAAAGATGTTAAAAAATAACTTTACAAGTAAAATGAATAGGATGGTATATTTGCATTTAAAGTAAATTAAAAAAGTTTACTAGATTATAAAAGAGTAGTTCTTCATTAAAATATATAATCAATTTTTTACTTTTATTTGATTTCAAACATATTAATCTGAATAGTGAACTAATGTAAGCTTGATTCAAATTTAAAGTTGTCGGGCCAAAATTTGGTATTTTTCTATTATACAGAAATATGAGGTTGAGGACGATCAAGGATAATATGGTCATTTCATATATATTTCATTTTATAATTCTATAAATTCTATTTTTAAATTTGTCAAAATAGTTTTTCAAGTGGCTAAATTTCCTCCATAAGCTACATGATTATTCTAGGAACTATAAATTATAAGATTTTTCTAGAACTAAGTCTATGACACAAATAAATAGACACTAACTCATTCTTCATTTCATTCACACTTCAATTCTCTCCCCTCTCGTTATATATATATTTTATATATAGATCTCTTATTATGAAAACCAATACTGCGTTTTTTCAACATTAAAAACTTCAATTTTCATCAATTTCCTACATAATGGCCCTACTTTTGTAAAACAATTATTAGACAGAAGTAAAATTCATTATTTCTTAGTGAACACATCACTTCTGGGACTTGTCCATATAACAAATTTTCAATAAAATTCAATTGATCCACATTTTTCAAACATTCTAATGAATATGATAATGAACCAGTTAACATGTTAAATCCAATATCACTCACAATTGCAATTCTCAAAAGGCGTAATTCAGAAGGAATGCAATCAGTGAGCAAATCATGTCATCAGGTATCACAGAGACCTAGCACCTAAGACGTAGAACAATAACAACTTGGCGGCGTAATCTTTGGCTGCAAAATGTTCACTATGAATGAGTGTATACTAAATCAGTTGTTTGATTAGTTATTTCGTTGCTAAGGCATATATATATAATTTACTAAATAGTTTTAGATGTCCTTTTGTGTATTCTATGTGAGTTGAATTTTTTTTTACTTTCCTTTTTTTGCGTAGGTTTGTCTGCTCCACATTTTTCATATGTGAAGAACATAGATCCAGGTCTACTGTTGTTTTTGTTCAACTACAGCAATCAGAAGCTTCATGGTATCTGTGAATCTACAAGCTCGGGAAAAATGAATATCAATCCATATGGTTGGACGTTAGACGGTTCTGGAAGAACTGAATATCCTACACAGGTTTTATGTCATGTTTTCTTCATATGCGATTTATTTGGTTGTGTTGATGCTTTTCTTTTTATGCTTTCTCTTGTTTGTAATTGAAGGTTCAGAAACTTCTGTGTCTGCATTGCAAACCATTGGCGGAAACTTTGTTTAAGCCTATAAATCAGGATAACTATTACAATGATTAGCATCATTTCATGTTTGAGCTAGATCGTGTTCAAGTGGCTAATCTGATCTCCAAGTTCTCATCTTGTGTATTGACTCCAATTTTCTAGTGTCAATACACAAGAAGAGAACTTGGAGATCAAATTAGTAGCTTGAACATGATCTAGCTCAAACATGAAATGATGCTGATCATTGCTCTAGTTATCCTGGATTATAAGCTTAAACAGAGTTTCCGCCAATGGTTTGCAGTGCAGACGTGGACGTAACTGAACCTTCATTTATAAACAAGAAAGCATATAAAGGAAAACGTCAACACAACCAAATATGAAGAAAATATGACATAAAACTTGTGCAGAAAATTCAGCTCTTCAAGAACCGTCTAACGTGCAACTATATGGATTGATATTCATTTTTCCCGAGCTTGCAGCTTCATAGATACCATAAAGCTCCCGATTATTGTAGTTGAACAAAAACAACAATATACCTGGATTTATGTTCTTCACATATGAAAAATGTGAAGCAACCAAACCTACACTAAAAAAAGGGAAGTTAAACAAAACTTAGCTCACATATAACATGCAAAAAGACCTGTAGTCAGCCAGGATGAGGGTTCGCTTGGGGACCAACAATGGTACTTGAGTGTCGGTCACGTCCAGGGTGTAGACTCGGGTCGTGACAATATATATATCTTTGCAACGAAATAACTAACCAAATAGCTAATTTAGTATACACTCATTCATGGTGTACATTTAGCAGTCAAAGATCACGCCGCCAAGTTGGGTTTTAGTCAAAGTTAATCTTTGTCTTCTTCAATAATCAGTTGTTGTGACTGGTGCATGCAAAAATAGTTCATACACTAAAGATATTCATGAAAGGTTTTTGGCATCACTAAAGTCGTATGTACTACGTACAAGACCATCACAAAAGCTTACCTTTTCACCCTTCAGTCACGAGTTACATCTACTACAAATTCCTCTTATATCTCTCAATACATATCTTGTGGAGAAAAAAAATAAGGCTAACACTGTTTAGAATTTCGTGAAAACATGGCATCTAAAAGAGAAGGCATAGGCTTTAGAACAGAAGACGAATTACGAATGACAGAGGGTCAATACTTCATATAAAATTATAGCTCGAATTGCACATACCTTTCACTAGGACAAAACTCCAAAGAAGTAATATTAGTACCCAAGTGCAACCTCTTGTGCAAAGAGGAGATCTTCATCTTTGTCACATCAATAACACATACATCACCATCTTTGCTTCCCTTGCATTTTAATGACAAGCATAGATTTAGATCAATGCATCAGCAAACTAAACGCCGCAGCAGATAGGAATGCAAATGGGGTGGTGCCGTTAAAGCCTATGCGGAATGGAGCAGGTTACAACTTATGTGGATGCAGAGGGTTGTTGGAACAGATCTTTTTAAAATTTAAAGGGGATGGGGGGGGGGTTGAGATAAGATACAACTAGGTGTCTGAAGTTGAAGTTCTAAGGGATGACATAAGTAAACAAATTTTTAAGATATAAATTCTGGATATCACAGATCTTTGAGAATTATTCTTAGTCTGAAATTTTGATTTAAAAATATTATTCCTGATCATTAAATTTTGATCTGAAACTTATTCTTTAGTTCTTTTTTATGCTTTATGTTTTATGTTTCTGATTTGTTGGGTTCAGAAATGAGCACATAAATGTACAGTCAAGTCAAAACAAGAACAAAATGGAAAATAAGTAAATAACTATCTGCTTTCCTTTTATAGTTTAGATACTAAAATTTAAATTTTCTCAGGGATAAAAAAAAATCACACACTGTTTGAAAGAGCAACTCTTCTAAACTAATTGGTATAGTAATCTTTCACCATCTACATCATTTCTATCAGCTTCTAATGAGGGAAAAGGCATAAGTACCCTACAAAACTACGACTGAAGTTCCAGGGACACTTTATCTTTACCCTATTACAGCCCTATGTACTATTTTACCACCCTGAACTATTTTAAAGTATAATAAACACACCCTTAAACGTGATAAGAAGGATTCCACTTTTTCTTGTTGGGAGAAGGTTTTCCCTTAATGGAGTATGTGTGTGAGAAAGAGGAAGACGATTTAGTAGAATAAGTGGATGGGAAAACGTCGGAAAAAATTCATCGGCGACTTCTGTACATGGTGAGCATGTGAAAAAATCAATTTTAGTTCTAGAAAATTAATAAAAAAAAAAAGAATTTGACTCTATTTCCCAAAGAAAGAAAGGAAAATAATATAAAAGATATCAACTTAAGTTTTAATGTTAATTAATTAAGTTTCCAAAGTAATCATATTTTAACTTTTTCACCCCTAACATGCCTCCGAGTGAGTGAGCACACTCTTTGTACCACCTCAGCACCAAAGGGTGTATTTATAACACTTCAAAATGGTTCAAAGGGGTAATAGGACCCCCATAAAGGAAAGGTGTGTTCCAGGAACTTTGGTCATAGTTTGTTTTGTGTTGTGGTTACGAAAGAAAAAAAAAGGCAAGCGAATCTAATTTGAGAAGGTAAAATAAATAATATTACCTATTATATGACACTAATTTTGTATTACCTAAATATAACAAAATGGAAAAAAAATCTTCAGCGGGAAGAGGCGAGTTGAAAATTATGTGGGTTAAAGGTTCAACCCCCCGCCCCATTGCCACCCCTAGCTGTATAACACCAAAAGCCATGTACGGGAGAGGAGACATTCATCAAAATGAAGACAAGTCAAGAGTAGCAAAAGAACTTAATTCATGCAAAAAGTTCAAATAAAGTCATGGTGTTTTTGAAAGATGAGAACACTTCAAATTAATTTGATGGAATCTTATACTAACTCCAACTGGAAAGGGAATAAGAACCAGATGCTACTGTGTTTTAGGTCGCCCTTCATGCCTCATTTTGGCCTATCTCATCATGAAACTGAAAATGTCAAATCAACTCAATGATTTATTCAACATCCATGTAAAAAAAATACTTTAACGAAGATTCACTATTGCAAAATCGATGTCAAATTCTTTTAGCTTCAACAATGCATATCTAAGGAAAGTATTGGACAGTAAAGATGATGGTAATTGAAATTCAACATTACTAGGAGGCACAAAACGATAAAGATCTTACAATGCAAGATATTTCCCATCCAAACTAAATGTCATAATGGAAGGTGGCTTATTATACATGCTTTTATGTCCAATTTTCTTCCATGTACTGATGTCCCAAACTGCAATCAATGTCTTATTGCTTGTTTTATTGACACAAGTTTGGATAGTTACACAATGTTTTCAATAAGAAAAATTACACAATCTCAATTTAATAACTTCATTAACTAAAGCCAGACTTTCGAATACCTTTCTGAACAGTAGTGAACAAAAATGGTTTTGTCCAATCTTTAGAGAACCTGCAGAGATAAATATTCTCATCCTGCAATGTGGAAGACAAGATACTATAACATCAACATAAAAATGGATAACCAATTGTCTAACAGGTAAGACGTCATATTATTCAGAACTAACTGCATTTCGTGACAAAGTTACTGGAACACCGTCCCTTTGTGTTCCATATTCTGGCGGCACCATCTGTGGACATGGAAGCTAAGAACTCTGAATCTAAGTTGTATATATATAAAAATAGGAAAAGACATTAAAATCTTGATCATGAAAATCATAGGAACAATAATCCATGGATTAAGTGTCATTTCTGCAACTGCAATAAGAGGCATAGTAAATTCAAGACTCTTAAATCTTTTGAAACTTTTTTTTACTAGGAAGATTTCATGATCATATTCAAAAATTAGATTCACACTTCAAAACTCAAAGATTATAGCATGAATGCAAATCCATGCATAAACGCATGTATTAGGGTTTCTTGATCGGGAATGTATCGTTTTTGAAATATCAACATGTTTAGTTCTCCTATGACATTTCTCACTTCTTAAATATAACCAATAATGGATAAAGTATAATTCTGTATCCAAATTCAGTTAATGTAGCTTTACATCCCATAATATTCACCTCCAAGATATAACCCTGCAAATTAGGTCACCGTTCGTCTCCTTATTCACTTTCAATTTCACATGAGAACAAACTACTTTAAACACTTAGATAAGATCACATAGAGCAACAAAAAGATAAAATCCACATGGGACAATAATTGAATGAAAAAAGCACTTCATTCTGATCTTTAAAGTGAAAAATTTACATCAGCATTGTTAAAAGACACAAGACTAAGATCCTTCACTTCATTTTTCCATCACTTAGTTTTTTTAGAATATAATCAATATTTTCAACACTAAAGTGTGAGAAAAGTAAGAGAACAAGATGTATCACTAATCAACGCAAGTGCACAGACACTGAAGATTATAGGTCCCTAGAGCTCATATCAGGTAAATTCTCACATATGATAAATAACAGAGGATTATGTACAACTATAATCTGAGTAAAGCTAACTATACCTGAAATCCATGTCTCTGAAAGACTTGTGAGCTTTAGGTTCATCCACAATAATGCGCATGGTTGGCCACTCAAAAAGTCTAAAATGTCCATCCTTCAAGATTCAAAGTAATACAAAGTCAGGACAACAAGGCAATATCCTCATGAAATATAAGAGACATAATTTTCACAAAATTGCTTACAACTCCGCCTATGGCTAATTTGGAGCCATCAACACTAAAGGCCATGCATTTTTGTGGACCAACATCTTGGAGAGGAAACTCCTTGCACACAAATTTTATATTATCTTCATGACCATATAACTCAAACAACCTGCAGCAAACAACGAACAATATATCCTCTTCCCAGGCTAAGAAATAAATAAAAAACAAGACAATAATCATATTAAAAACTCAGACTAGTCATATGTATGGTCCTTTATTGGGTGACAAACTTAATCAGTAATGTGAAAAGATAACTATCAGCCAAAACAAGACCTAGACCTGAATAACCTTTGCTTCAAAAGCGGGTCGGCACAACTGAAAGCTGCAAAGGCACATGTCCACACGGGAACATAGTACTGTGTTGAATTTATATGAAAATATATACAAAATAGAATTTGTTTTCTTTTATCAATAGATGAAAAATCATGAATGCAACATTTAGGATCGTCCAACCATTGCTACTCACATCACTAGCAATCAGGTCCCGAGATGTTCTTACCAACATTTACTAATGATGCCAAATTAAAATCTCCCCTATCACATATCATGCTCATGTTCAGTGACTTCACTGAGGTTTCTGATCTACCTCCGAAACCTAAATCCATTTTTTTAAATGGCTAATGCCTAGATTAGGTCTTAAAAAGTGGTTGTCCACAAGAAAAAATTAACTCCAGGCTGGCATGACCTTGAGGTTCACTCAAGATCCAGATTCCCTTGGACTAATTCATTACTTACACAAGGAATATTTAACAGAACAGACCAACACTTTTTAGGTCAAGAAAACTAACTCACAAGGTTTCTACATGAAAACATATCATAATAATACTCGTCGACTAACAGTACTCATCCTGTTTACCTACCGCGCAGTAACATAATCACCATCACAACAACAAAATCATGCATTAATAATCTTCTATCTATATACAAACAAAGCCAAAATCAACAATTCGAAATCACAAGGCATTACACTCATTCATATCTTGCTTAACAAACTACCAACTACCAAAAAAATCAAATCTTTTTCACAACAAAAACAGTAAAAAGCCAACTTCCAGAATAACTAAGAATTAAAATCGAAAAGGGTTTCAATATTTACTTGCAACTAGTAGTGGTGGAGCACACAAAATCATCCCCACTTGGATGTACAGCAATCCTCACTGGCTCTCCACCTTGCTCGAACAAATACGTCGCCTAATAACCAATACCCACAAACAAAGGTTCAAATTTCACCACAGTCCTCACTGTCGTTTGATCCACGATGCACACGTCACTTTCCCTTCCACAGATACATCACCATCGTCCATTTTTCTAATCTTCCAAAACTCTACAAAACCCAAAAACATCAATGTAACAACAATGGCGGAAAAAAGTTGAGGTTTTTGAGTTTCAGTGAAAATTGAAATTTATAGAATTTTTTTAATTATTTTTAAAAAAATATAAAGTGTGACAATATATAAGGATATATGGTGGGGGCCAGAATTAAATATAGTCAACGGATTTTTGGATATTCCAAATTAGGAGTAATATTTATGTGGGAATACTTTGGAATTAGCAAATTATAATAAATTTTGCACGCCTGTTTATAGTTCTGGCAAAAAAAAATTACTCCCTCCATCCCATATTATAAGTCACCCCTTTCTAAAAATAGCTAGACCATAATATATGTCATTTTATAAAATTTATGCATAAATTACCATATTTTCCCCATTATACCTTTGATTGATTAATTAATTAATCTTGAAAATGTATTTACTTTGACTAACCTAGGAAATCTACAAGTAATTAATTTCATTGGGAGAGTACTTCATTCATTAATTAACTACTTTCTTTATTCACTACTTATTCTATAAAATCTAATTTTGAAAAAAAAATATAAACAAACAAATTAAAAATAAAAGATGAAAAAAAATTCAAAAATAATCTTGAAAGTTGAAGCTTCAACAAATTTTATCAAGGAAGATGACATTTCAAAAAGTTCAAAGGATGTAAAAATAGAAGACTCAACCAAAACATGTGAAGGCCAAATTGAGAAAAATCAAGATCCAAATAAAGGAGTTATGCACCATTTAAATAAAAAAACAAATGATTTGTCGAACTAGAACTAAAATTCATTTGTCGTCTAATTTCATTATCAATAACATCAAATTTTTGGATCAATTGGTGAAAAAATTTGGCTCCAAAAAGTAAAATTTAAATAGTCATCCAAATGCATTTATATTTTTGAAATCTAACATTTCATCATTTACAAAGTTGTCATAAGCAAACATTAAATAAGGGCATAAGGGTAAAATTACCTTATTTCTTAATGCAAGTGCAAATGGAAAATGTGACTTATAATATGGGACAGAGGGGGTATTGTTTTGTTGACTGATTTAACAAGAGGAAAATCCAAAACAAAAATGGAAAACACCTTTAAATTTGATGGAAATTATTACTATCTCAGTCCACTTTGAATTGTTATAATTTCTTTTTTTTTGGAGTCAAACTATAAAAACTTTGAGTAACATTATATGAAAAAAATGCAATTTATAGTACTTTTCATATAGTTTTTGAATATCTAAAATTTTGTTAAGAATGTCAAATTAATGTAATCTAATTTAAATTTGAAAATTAATCAAATTGACTTTCGAAAAGTGCAACATTATAAATAAAAGTAGACGGAGGGAGTAGTTTCATTCTTGAATTAATGACAGCTTAAAAATACGTTTTTACTTGACTAATTGAATTTAAATACAACTTGCTCGAATAAAATGACTGAAATACACCCCTAAAATTTTATAAAGTTTAAAAGTGTTTTCAACACTTCTTTTGGCTTATTATTAAGCGTCACATGCTTCTACAAGAGTTTGAGACCATTTCTTGTGTCATGTGGCAGATTGGAGTGGATGCAAGTTTAGTTAGTCAAGTAGAGGGTTGATGTTTTTGAATCTGTCAATAGTTCGGGAACAAAACTAATAATTTTCGTCAACTTTAGAGATATCTTCAATACATCTCTCAGAAAAAGAAAAACAAAGAGTCAAAAATTAAACACACGTGAACTATCTTTTTTTTTGTAAAGTTTCACATTTTGATTATTAGTTGTTTCGTTTTTCTACCTGAATTATCACTTATATATGTATTAAAACACATCTAGTTGAATAAATAACGACAATTAAAATAGAAAAAGAAAATAAATCATAGTTTATGACATAGGCAATATTAAGATGTGTTTTAATGTATAGATTGTAATAGTCCATATAAAAAAAGACAATATTGATAATTGAGATGTGAAACTCGTAAGAACATGATAGTTTCAACATGATTTTGATCATTAACAAAAATAATAAGATAAAGTATGTATTCAAAAAGTTTCATACTATATTATACACTCTTTTTGGAGGTATGTATTTGGTATGAATGAAAATATTCTCCCCTAGAAAGAATATTTTCCTCCGTACCAAACACCCTTCGCCTCCATTTGACACGAAAGGTATTTAATTAGTGAACGTAGAAAAAGTAATTTAAAAACATAAATAATATATATAAGTCAAATATATACGAATTGTCAAAATTTATCATAGTTTTACATGTCTTTTTTTTCTATCTCTTTCTTATAAGATAAAAAATAATAAACTTTTAAATTGGGAAATTATTATAGTAATTCACGTTATTAAGAATAAAATAAAAATGTCAAAGTCAACTAATTTCCAAAAAGAGACGGTAGGAGAAGGAATTGGTCATCTTATTATTTTATTGAATCAATGAAGTAATGTTTATTTTTTTTTTTTTTTGTTAGAAATGGTTAGCTTTGGAGATATATTTTGGCATATTCTTAAAACGTGATTCAAGGTTGTCAATTTCACAACATATTTTTTAAAAGGGTTGTATGAGACTTGAATTTCATAACGATGTTGCAAGTGTTAATACGGAGTTCATATTGCATAAGGCCAACTTTCTCATCTCAATAGCTAGTTTTTAGAGTTTGCTTCATCTTGGATTGTAGTAATTGTATCAAAGTCACTCACCACTATTATACTCACCATACCATAAATAATGATGTTGGTATTGCAGCTTTCGTTTGGGACTAACAATGTATATAGTGCACGATCAATTGTGAATGTCCGAGTACCTAAATAAAAATTTGTTATATGAGAAATAGCTATGTTCTTGTGATAGAGTAAACATATATATTTATTCTAGGATTTCCTTTTACTTCTACTGGCATCAAATTGTTTTTTTTTTTGGTAAAAAGAGATGTTATATTATAAACTTAATTATGCATCAATACAGTTGAGTGGCCGAGCTGTGCTTCTGCTATTACAAATTAAAGGGGGAAGGGGATTTATATTCCTATATAATACAAAAGATTCTTCTTCCTGAGAAGTTGAGCTTTTAAATCTTGCAAAAGTAGTTCCTGACTTGTCTGCTTTCAGGTCTTCTAAGATTAAGGTTGGAGGAACTGACAAAAACACAAAAGAGTTAGCATCTTGTAGTTTAGCCCCTTCTTTAGCTAATGCATCTGCCACTTTGTTTGCTTCCCTGAATTTATGGTGAATTGGGGGATTCCCCAGCTGGTGCAGCAGCTCCCTGCAATCAAGTAAGACGTTAGAGTAAGAAGGGCGATCGTTGGTAAGCATTTGGATAACAGTTTTGGAGTCTATATTGATCTCGAGAGGGAGAAGGTTATGTGTATGTGCTAGTGTTAATCCTTTATGGAGACCATAAAGTTCCAACGTAATGGTGTTCCCATAGTATATATTACCCATGAATCCCATAACCTAGTCCCCATTTATATTCCTGATAACGCCTCCTACCCCATATCTCCCTGTTGGGTTAGAGCTTGAGCCATCAGTGTTTCATTTATATCCTGATTTAGGAGGTTCCCATTTGATATATTCAGTAGTGGGTTGATTCTTCTCTTGCTTATGATTGGATTAGGCTAGATATTCTTTTGTGTGGGTGTAGGGAATTTTAATATTAATTATTTCCTTCTTATTATGATGGTGATTGTTATTTCTTGTAATCCATATACTCCATAGATAGAATGGAAATGCCTCTTTCCATTTTAAATTGTTTAGTTCCACTGGCATATTCCTTATCGTTTCTAACCAATTCGTATCATCCGGTTGGATAAAGGTTTGGATCGTATGGCTCATCCCTAGTTTATGCCAGAGGTCTTTTGCTATTTGGCATTCAATGAAAATATGCTGGATAGTTTCGGGTCGACTAGAAATGTGGCAATCCCTTCTTATATCTATTCTTATTGAGTTTAGATAGCTACGAGTTGGGAGTCTATTGTGGTTACAAAACCATAAAAAATGTTTGATTTTGTGTGGACTGTGAAGACTCCAAATCCATCTAAACTTCTCACCCTTATACATAACCTTCATTTCATTGGTGAGTAGTTGTTGATAAACCGAGCTGGTAGTTAGTGTGCCTTTGGGATGGGGTCCCATGAAGCTTTATCTTGTGCCTACGAGGAAATTGGCAGATATGTGCATTCTATTAGATTTGTAATGACTTCAGGGAGCTCAAAAGATATCCCTTCCAGATTCCATGCCCCTGTTTTTGTAATAATATCTTTAATCTTCATATTGACTTCTTTTTCCGATAGTGGTCCCTCTATCATTTCTCTTATGAGCTTTTTGTTAGGAAGCCATCTATCTTGCCATAGATTAATGTGACTGCCATTCCCAATTGTCTAGCTTAATCCTTTTTTACAGATATCCCAGCCACTTACTATATTTTTCCAGACCTTCCCGTGTGATTATTTTGATGCGAATCTTATAGGGGAGTCTATTGTTTTCATATATGTCCCAATTAGGAGGGATGCCCATGTGGTACTAGGATTAGAAAAATCTCTCCAGGCAAGTTTTGCTAGGAGAGCTCTATTTTTTGTCTCTGCTCTTTGTAGTCCTAGACCACCATTTGTTTTGCTTTGGGTTACTCTATCCCATTTAATCATATGTAATTTCTTTTTAGTATTAGTAGTCCCCCATATGAAGTTCTTTTGGATTTGATCAAATTTTTTTGGTTACTTTCAGTTGGGAGTTTAATAAATTGCATAATGTGTGTAGGGATGTTGTTTAGGCTAGCTTTGGCTAATGTAGTTCTTCCTGCTAGATTTAGGAATTTGGTTTTCCACCCAGCCAATTTTTGTTGGAGGTTATCTATGATAAATTAATAATCGCTCACCCTAGGGGTTTTAATAAATATAGGAAATCCTAGATATTTACCAAATAAAGAGCTATGCTTAATTTCCAAGTTGTTAGAAATATCTATTTTCAGATCTTTAGGGCAGTTCTTGGAATATAGAAATTTCGAT